ATTAAGTTCATTTGAGTCTTCAACTGGTGGACCTCCTCATTCAATAGTTCCTGGCCACTTTAGAGTTCCTCCATGGCTTCTTGAGACATGCTTTGAGTTTTCTTATGAGTATCGAGAATCTTTCTAGCTGATCACAGTTGGATAAGGGTGGAAGTGTAAATGATATGAACTTTGTGAAAATATATGAATGAGAGATATGCAAATGTGTGGATATGAAAAAAATATATTATTTTTTCTTTGCTCTCTAGGATATGAAAATGTTTTCATGGAGAGGAAATGCGATGCAGACGTAGTATGAGGGTAGACGTAGGGGGTACCCTATATAGGTTTAGTGATAGACATGACGATATCCTACTCTGACTCAGAGATTGAGACAGGTAGGGACTCCTTACAGACGAAGATGATAATAGACATATATTTGATGATATCCTACATTGTCTTAGAGATTGAGACAGGAAGGAATTCCTTAAGGGTTATGGAAAATGAAAGACGACGAGGATTCCCTACAGGATAGGGATTACAACAAATAGGGAAGCCCTACAGCCTAGAGATGATAGTAGAAGAAAAAGATAACCCTTGCGGGTTTACAGATTGTAGTAGGATTTGTGAAAGGTATCCTCAGAAGGTAGGTTCTTAGTATTGGCCTACGGATATTCTACCCTCCCCATAATGTGGTTTCCTTAAGGGTATCATGGATAACACTAGAGGAAAAGACACAAGCTCCTCCCTTAATCGGAGCCTCTTTAGAGATCTAAACTTTCGTCTCTAGGTCATGAAAGGTTTCATCATGAGTTTTTGGTTTAAAGGTCGTACAAAGAGTCATATGTGTCATTCCAAAGTCCTACTTCCCAAGAGGATATCTCTCGAGAGGCATTCATTTTACGGAATTCCACCGACTCTAGGCGAAATCATCACATAAACTCATAGGGTTGATGTATCCCATTGGCTAATAGACGAACCTTCTTTCTAAGGGTTTTTGAAAATATTTTTTTGCGAAAACTAAATCTCACTACAGATATAATAATATAATGAAATAATAAAAAATAATCAGAAAATAAATAGATAATTAAGTAAGCAAGAAATAAAAACCCAATAAACAAGAAAAACCCTAAAACCAAAAGAGGAGGCTTATAAACCTAGGGTTGAGTCCCCAATAGAGTCGCCAGCTGTTGCAACTGGTTTTTGATACATAGTCGCCGTCCTTAATTTTTATCCTAAGGAAGGGAGTATAAAGGAATAACCCTAAAAAGTTTAGAGATTCTAGGTCTGACTCGGTTTTATATGAAAGGAAGGTGTTAGGCACCCCTCATCTACCTTGTTCACAAGGATACTAGGTTTAGAAGCGCGTTTTTGGAGAAAAAGGGTTTTAATTTTTAATAGGGGAACTCGCCACGATTTTAATCGAATGTCTATGTATCCTCTTAGGAGAAATCAGAGTCTCATTTCGTAGTTCGCGGTTGTTTGGTTAGTATTTTTTATGGGTTGTAAAAAATATATTGAATTCTCCTTGAACCAAGTCTGAGTTTGTGAATAGCGGAATCGTAGATGTGGCTCGCAGTTTATAAGAGATATTAATACAACCCTTTTTGAAAATAAATATAAATTTGATTATGTTAGTGGAAAAATGTTAGTGTTTGTTGGTTAGCTATTTTCAATTTATATGGTATAATATAAAAAAAGTTTGAATGAAAAAAAAAAGAATTTAATGCAAATGAAAAGGGATTAGTATTTTGAAGAAAAAAAGATTAAATAAAAAATCATTACTCTATAATTTTATTAAAAAATATATTCCAAAATACATATTTTTTATAATAAAAAATATTATAATTATTTATTAATTCTGAAAAAAAATAACTTTATATAACAAATTATAAAAAAAAACAAATGAATAAAAATAAGAAAAACAAAATAATTAATTGATAAATTTAAACATAGCGCAGGGGTGTATTTTTATGTAACGGAGTAAAACAGGGGGTGCTGATATTAAGGGCCTTAGATCCAGATATTGGATCTAAGCCCAATTGTGCACAGAGGTCCACCAGGCTACGTGTGCATTCATGCACGGAATTACAGTGGACTCGCGAAATCGCCATCGTTCGATGGTGATCATGAGACCCCCTGAGATTAACTCAGAGGTGTCCGATCAAGGTGGGCAAAACAGACGATCAGGATTGCATTCTAGCGAGGGAGTATGATAACAGGCCGTATATTGACATTAAATAATGCAGGAAGGGAATAAACTAAGATTATTTCATATTTTCATTTCATTTTATTTTGTAAAAAAAAATCCTCTCTCTCTCTCTCTCGTTCCTTCCCCTATCCTCTCTTCTCCTTCTTACCAACAACAAAATCTATCAACACCCGACCTACCCAGCTCGATGACAGCGAAAAAAAGGAACAACCCCAAATGTGATCTTGCAAACCCTAACCCCAAATTTCCACCTCAAATCCCCAAATCTTCCAATAATCCAAAAAAAATCAACATCGCAAAAAAAAAGCTAAGTGTTTATGTACCTTTGCATCTTGAACTGATGATTGTCTCTGATCTCGGTTCTCAATCTTCTCTCTGTTTCAGTTACAGGTGAGAGGCACGGCGGTGATGACGAATCGGGCGGCAGCAGTTTGAGGGGAGCTAGGGTTTTAGATATTGAAACCCTAGACTGGAGCGGTGGCTTCTAAAGGCGGCGCTAGTGGATCAAGAATTCGTCTGATCCTTCTCTTTCTGTAACCTCCTTCTTCTTTTGATTTCTTCGTCAAAATTCTTCCCCCTTCTCAACTTCTTTGGGATTCTCATTTATAGTGTTTAGATTTTTTAGATTAGGAAGGTTTTAGCATTTTAGTTTAAATTGATGTAAATTAGGTTACAGATTGATTGTAAATTCATTGTAATGGATACGATTCTGATTTTTTTTTGTTACAGATTTGATAATTTATGAGATTTGATTCTATTTATTAAGTTTGCTTTAGTTCCGGATAATCACAATATGAAGGATTTGATTCCAATTGATTTGAACCGTATGTGTTTATAACATTAAAACGTGCGTGTCTCTTCTTCAAGGTGAACAGTGCATGTTTGTTTTTGGGCTTGGAATGTGATTTAGAAGGCCTTTCTTTAAGTTTATCGGTCCATGTAATAAAATAATCATAATCTTAATTAAATCAAAATAATAATAATTCTGATAATAATAATTAATAATAATGACATAGCATTAATGATATGATTAATAATAATGTTAAAAAACTAATAATAAAGTTATTTGATCGTAATATAAAAAAAAGAATGACAATATAATTTGTTTAAATAATCAGATGAAGAGATCAATTAGGCTCTCTAAAAATATTCGATATGGGTCTTCCAAAAAATGAAATGGATTGATCTGATCAAACAAAAAAATGTATACCCCTCTTTATTTTTTTTTACCATCAAACAATTGGGCCGACTGAAAGGGCATGTAAAAACGTAAACTCCTTCATTATTGAAGATTAATCACAAACCTTGATGGGCTTAAAACTAAACGCATCGTCTCTTATTAATACTTTGATCCCCTTATTTATTTAGACCCCTATTGCCTTCGATACAATAGGTCAACCTCATACACAAAAATGACTTAGAAATTAAAAACATAGTAACATAATTATTAAATTAATTGGATGTCAGCAAGACTTCTGAGTTATACAGGGAGTATCAACTCATTAAGAGTGTACTCTTTGCAATATCAAACTATTGGTGTCAACTCATTAAGAGTGTGCTCTTTACAATATCAACCTATTGGATGCAGTTGCTACCTCTTCCTCCAACAAGTTATTAAACACATTGAATTATATATATATATATATATATATATATATATATATATATATATATATATATATATATATATATATATATATATATATATATATATATATATATATATATATATATATATATATATATATCTTACCTTATTAAAAACTACATTTTATATCAATCAGTTTTGCCAATTTAATTGTTATAAATTAATGACTCAATGTTACAAATTTCATCATTTATTTCATTTTTCTGACTGGAAAAAAAATCTCCGTTAATCAAAAGGAGTAACTTCTATTACCAAAATTATACAACCAAATCTTAAATTTAAACTCCTTCTAAAATGAAGCAGAAGTTCTCACTCAACAAAATAAAACTATTAAATACTAATCCAAAACTCTCCATCAAAAAACAAATACTTTTGAATCATGAATAAAATTCAAATTTTTATTTTTGTTATCATCCGCAAATCTCACCAACTATTCGAACTCAATCCCTCAGTTAAAGTATGTAATAATAACTATGGGAAAAATGTCATCATTTAAAATGAATATTAATTAGCACATATTCTATCTGCGCTTCTTCAATCAAATGTATCTGGTCTACTCCCTAAAAGTTGATCTGTTAATGAAGGTTTAAGTTCAAAGAGCGTGCTCTTAGTTTCAGACTCGAATTATATTAAGTGTTAATAATTCCTATATTGAAGCAGTTCATATATGGCGCTGCATAAGGATGGTGAAATTTTTCTCCCTTAAATTAATCGGTCCTAAGGCGGGATACGGATTTTTCAAAACAAAAAGAAATCATGTTTGATGTATTAAATCTGGTCAACAGGGAGACACACAAAATGCTTGAATTATTGGTAAACAAGCACATAGTGATAGAACAAGAAAATAACTAACCCAAAATTGATTTTGTGTCCTAAATTCTGGTAACACCCCATCATTAGTTTTTCTTCCAAGTCTCAAGCATCTCAATCCTAAGAAAACTTTGTTTCTTTTCTACAATCAACTCTCACTCTCTCTCTCTATTCAATTCTCATTTTCTCTCTCTTAAAACCAAGCTACAAATCTTCCTATAAATACATGATGCCTCTTTGTCATTTACCTCAAATATCTCTATCATCTTCTAATCAACTTTTTTCATTTGCTTCAATTCTTTGAGCTTGTTTGTTCTTTCTTTTTCCATCAAGTGAAAAAACATTAGAATAATGTTTCCACAAATTTTCACCATTTTGGTCTCGTTTAGCTTGTGTTTTGCCTCTTACTTAGAACAAACACATTTTCAAACAAAATATGAACAATTTGGTGTCATGGCAAGGACTTATCATCCATCTATCGCACCTTCGCGATCTCAAAAAATGATTAATGTCAACGATTATGGAGCTAGAGCTAATGACGGACAAATCGATAATAAGGTATAACTTGCACATACAAAAAATGAAATATATTTATATGTATGTGATTAAATTCTAGTCGTCACTTTCACACATACATTAATATTGTGGTACAATATTATGGTCACAATTATAGATATGTGTCGATTTTTAAAATCATGTGTCACAATTTTGCATTATAGGCCTTTGAAAAGGCATGGAATGAGGCATGTTCTAATGGAAGAGTTCTTGTGGTACCTGGAAATAGTGTCTATCATCTAAAGCCAATAATATTTTCAGGGCCATGCCAACACAATACTGCAGTAAAGGTATGATAATATATTTATTGCAGTTATAATTTCCATACACTCGTCTGAATCAACTATAGTTGAATTGAGTTCAGACGATCGAAATATATGGAAATTGTAATTGCAATAAATCGGACTTTATAGCAACTTTTATAACCCTAGTTGTAACGGTTTTGTGATTAATAATTGTTTCATTATGGTAGATTTATGGAACAATCAAAGCATGGCCTAAAATATCAGCATATGAAGAAGATAGGACGCTATGGATTAAGTTTGAGAATGTCACAAATCTAATAGTTAATGGTGGTGGAACCATTAATGGAAATGGACAAATATGGTGGAAGAAATCTTGCAAAGTCAATGAAAGCCTTGTATGATATTCTATCAAATTCCTCTTCATTTTTTTTAATCCTTGGATTGATTTTTTTTTAACTTTAATTATTACAAAAATCCTTTACCATTTTAAACTTTATTTTTTCCATTTAAAAAATGCATATGGGATTTTTTTAAATAAAATTTCTGTATTTTGCTTTAGCTTTAAAAAAATATACTTTCATTGTATATAACTTTTTTAAAATAGTAAAAATTATTTTAAACTCTCATTTTATTAACTAAAATATTAATTTTGACATACAATAACATAAAAATACATTATTTAAGATTACAATATCAGTAAAATCACATAATTTTTCAATATATATAATTTTTTTTAATTAAATATATCAAAAAAAAAATTTAATTATTTAAAATAGCTTTAAATTAAAACTATTCTAAATAGTTTTTAAAAAAATTATTTAAAATATTTTTAAATTTAAAACTATTCTAAATAGTTTTTTTAAAAATTATTTAAAATAGTTTTAAATTTAAAACTATTCAAAATAGTTTTTTAAAAAATTATTTAAAATAGCTTTAAATTTAAAGCTATTCTAAATAGTTTTTCAAAACAATATTTTTGAAATATCTAAATTTAAATAATTTTTAAAATTTTAATATCCATGAAAAAATTACAACAAAAAGGTGAATTATCTCAATAATATTTTTATAAACTATTTAAACCAATTTTATATTTAAAATTTATAAAATAATAATAATATGAAAATTGAAACAAGCCAACATTTAATCCATGGGTTGATATATATATATATATATATATATATATATATATATATATATATATATATATATATATATATATATATATATATATATATATATATATATATATATATATATATATATATATATATATATATATATATATATATATATATATATATATATATATATATATATATATATATTCTTTTGTCTTCCACTAGGAAAATACATATATGGAATCCATATCTAAATATTTATCATTTTAATTTGATTGATATTTCCAATACTGACCTTAATTTCTTTACTCTCCTTTTGTTTCACAGCCATGCAAAGGGGCACCAACTGTAAGTTAAATAAGCATACTTTTGTAAACTTTATTACATGCTTTGTTTTCATATTATTTTATTTAATTAATGTTTTACATATATAGGCTGTGACATTCATTGAATGCAACAACTTGAAATTGAATAACCTAAAATTCAAAAATGCACAACAAATGCATATAAGGGTTCAGAATTGTAACAATGTTTGGGCTTCAAATCTTATCATCAGAGCACCAGGAGATAGCCCCAACACTGATGGATTTCATGTCACTCACTCACAAAATGTTTTCATAACCAACAGCATCATTGGGACAGGTAAAAAAAAATATTAATCTTTTTTGATTCAAATATCTCTTATAAAAAGAAGATAATATTATAATATAATATTAGTATTTAAAATATATTATATTATAAAATTAATTTTTTAGAAATATAAAATTATCTAATTTTCTTTCTCACTATTTTATTGAAGGTGATGATTGTATTTCAATAGTAAGTGGGTCCAAAAACATTAGAGCTACAGATATCATATGTGGACCAGGACATGGAATAAGGTTCATAATTCTCTTAATTAATTTTTTTTTCTAATTTAATTTTATATTGAATGGTTAAAAATATTGATGTATTATTATTACTTTTTTGTTTTTTATTTTTTATTTTTTATTTTGTAGCATTGGAAGCTTAGGACAAGATAAGTCTGAAGCTCAAGTGTCCAATGTGGAAGTGAATAGAGCTACTCTAAAAGGAAGCACTAATGGGGTTAGAATTAAGACTTGGCAGGTAAATTAATTAACCACTTTTCAACTTTGAAATGGTTTAATATAATAAATTAAGGGTCATTTTTAAAATATAAAAGTATAAATTGTGGAATTAAAGTTACCCACTTAGTTTAATATTCTATAATACAATGTTTGCAATTATCAACTCAATTAAATTAAAATAAACATAAAGTTTGAGTTGAGATACTTTAACTGACCAAGTTTGGCAAGTTTACATAGTCCACCAATTCCTAACCTTATTACTTCAAACATGTCAACAACATTTTACATTTTAAAAACTATGTTGGTCAACTTTCTTTAGTCCTTCTTCTTAACTAATTTCAACCAACAAAATACTTTGATTTTTCATGCAACGGCATCACATTTGGGATGGTATCATTTTTTATGAATAATTGGTGAAAAATACATTTACCATTTATTATAATATATTGTTTAAAGTATGGTTTTAGTTCCATCCATTATAGTGTTTTTAGAATTTAGCTTCGGTAAATTCTTTTGTTTGGGAAATAATAATTTTTTAAGGTCGATTAGAACATTAACATTGTATGTGAGAATCGGAAGTTCGTACCTACAGTGTGGGGACATCAGTTCTAAACTGGTCAAGGACAAATGTTTTGTATTGGTCAAAATAGTCTCGCATTATTTAAAAATTGAAATTAAATGTAATTCATATACAACATTCATACTCATCAACTATAAAAAAATATTATTTAAAAGACAAAATCGTAAGAGTTCTCACTTCTAAAACAGACAATACTTCATAACTGCAATGGTGTGAATTGTTACCGAGTATTTTTTTTATTTTAGAAGATAAGAAGTATTTTAGTTCTAATGTCAGTGTTTTTCATCTATATATCTCAATAGGGAGGCTCTGGCTATGCAAAAAACATCAAATTTCTCAACATCGTTATGCACAATGTGACTAATCCCATAATCATAGATCAAAATTATTGTGACCGAAAAACAGAATGTGAAGAGCAGGTAATTTTTAATGAATTAATTTATACAAATATTTAACTTTAATGAAAGTTATTTGTAATCCACACATGCATATGATTGATTATGATTTGTGTAATTTCAGGACTCTGCAGTGCAATTGAGCAATGTGGTGTATCAAAATATAAGAGGAACAAGTGCCTCAGAAGTGGCAATCAAACTTGAATGCAGCAAGGCTGTTCCATGCAAAGGAATTCATTTGCAAGATGTGATTTTAACACCAGAAGGCAATGATGGCGCCATTGCAAAATGTGAAAATGTTAGATACACAAATAGTGGAAAGTTTTTTCCTAAATGCCAACCTTGAAGGAAAAAATGAGGGATCAAATTATTAGGATTTGTGTATATACAAATCAGTTATTCAGATTTAGGCACAAAGGCATAAATATTCAAGTTAGTCACTTAGTCAAAAAAAATATATATTGAATGGTAAATTGCAATAAAAAGGTTTTCATTTGACCACTATTTAAAATAATTCGACTAAATTAAAGCTCACAAAAGTACATGAACAAAGAGGTGTATGTTGAGGTAAAATTCATGACCACTATTATGATCCACATTTTTATACAGTTTTGTAAACTTGTAACTTCATGTTAGTAGATTTTAAAATATACTAGTAACTTTATAAACTATATCATCTTTATTAAGCTGCAAGCAAAGAGGTGTATTGAAATTACGATTACAGATAAGTGATGTCGAAGGATATGTTACGACACAAATATTTGAAGACAATGTAAAGTGTAATAATAATAAAAACAGTAAAAACATAAAAGATTGTTAACTCAGTTCATTGTACAACAACACTTACTCTAGGACTATCAAGTCAGGGACAAGTCCACTAAATAGTATCAATTCATAGACCCTCAGTAAACAACCAGTTTATGATCTAATCACTTAATCACTACCCGTGCTATACTTCTACCTAAGACACACCTAGGTATGAGGCCCTCCTCAAATCCCTTTAATCACTAACAGTGAAGAACAACAGAATTATTAATTTATAAAGACTTCAATCATTCAATACTTAAAAGCTTATGAATGATCCACAATTAACAACTCAAATACCAACTCAAGTATTAAATCAATATTAAAGTGTATTACAATTAAAAGACTTAGACTTCTAAAACATAAGGAATATATTCTTCTTCAAAAGTTTCAGTCAAATGAATAAGGATGCAGGTCTTTATAAAGGCACAGCAGTGGGTTTGGGCTGAAAAACAAATATTCCAATCTTTTAAATATTTTCATGAAAACAGGCCAAGATATAATTCATAAAGATAAAGTATATCGAAAAATATTCCTCCATATTTTTCGCAAGTTATGAGTTCCAAATCCTAAATGATGGTGCGCATAAAAACAGGAAACAGAAAACTTAAACTAGATATGAAGTTTCGTTCAGCTCAGGAGGCAAATGTCAAGACATCTGCTTTGACATCATTCAAAACAGTTTGTTTTAAATATCACGACATTTAGCAAAACATTATCAAGTCATTGTTTTACCAAAATTGTTACCTACAAACACTTACAAACTTCCCCTTTGGCAAATTTTGACTAAAACGTTATTTGAGCACATTATCAGAGCAGCAGCATAAGCAAAACAAAAACTCAGTTAGCAGTTAGTTATTAGCATGGGAAGATGTCAGAACATCTTCTGAGACATGAGGCTCCCCCTCAAATATTAAGCTCCCTCTCAGTCAATGGTCAATCAGTTTCTCTACCCCTTTTTAGTCATAATATGCCAAATAAAAAGATACAGTCAAGAGAGTATCAGTAATATAGTTACAGACCATAGAATTCAAAAGTCAAGCACATACAAGTGCCAAAAAGAAACAAAGGGATCAAACAAGTAAGCAGCAAATAGTCTATCTGTCTTCAAGACCAGTAGACTTGGCAGAGCCAGAACTTCCTTCCTCACTAGAATCTCCTCCTTCAGAGCTCAATCCATCATCAAAGTTGTTGTCCTTCTGCAGCTCATTGATCATATTTTCAAAAGTTAGCTTTCTTGCTGAGCTAACTCTGATGACATCATCAAGTTCTTTGCAGGCTTCCCTTAATTCAGTAATCATGTCATCCTTGGTTGAGGACTTATTTTCAGCAGATGCAGATGTCAAAACAATGTCTGGGACATGTTTTCCTGAAAATAGTTTGAGGTGAAGGGTCAGAGCAGACTCCCTCTTACAAGCTACATCATTACCACTCAGAATTCCAGGATGTTGATTAAGAATAATTCCACAAATGAGGGATGAAAAGGCAATAGGCATCTTGATGGCACATGTTCCTGCATGCTTAATAGTCTGATAAAAAATGTAAGTACCACAATCAAACAGTTTCTTGTTTCCAACAACATAAATAAACTTTCCTAAGCCAATAGTGATGGTTGAGGTATGATTGGTAAGAACCCAGTTAGCAGATGCAAGATAGCATATTTCACACTTAGCTTGCTAACAGGAAACTTATTCTTCATGGGCCACTCACTCACTTGGTTAGCAGTGATGGCTTTACACACTTGATTATCAGTTACTTCCAGCTCACAATAATCATCTTCAAATCTATCCAGAAATCTATTGATGATGGCAGGGGAAAACTATACACACCTACCTCTAACAAAAACCTTTCTATACTCCTTACTTTTATGATCAGCACAGTCAATAGGAATATTAACAATAAATTCCTTAACAAGAGTCTCATAGCATTTTGCAAACCTGGTAACATTTTTCATCAATCCAGCAGAAGATATCAGCTCCATAATTTCTTTGCACTCCAGTGCACCAGCTCCTAATTCTCTTTCAAGAGAAATTCTTCTCAGAAATACATATTTCCACTTTTCAGCATTCTCAACATAATGGAAGGAAATGTTGTCAAGAGGGGCATCAGGTACCCTAACAGAAAGCTTCTTGCTTGCAGACTTTTTCACAGGAGAGATGTCCTGGACATCTCCCTCGACATCATAATCAGAGTCATCCTCTTATATCAATTCAGCTTTCTTCTTACCTTTGGATCTCTTTACAGCAGCATCATCATCATCTGTGGAGCTATCAGGTCTAGCTTTTCTTTTGCTAAAGGGAGGAACCACTTTACTTCCAGACTTTGGGGGACTATACATAGTTTTCTTCTTGATTATCTTGACAGGGGGTGTGATATTCACATCCTTCACTTTCCTGGATTTGAGCTTTTTAGCAATTCCCTGCAACACATTAGAAATGAGCTCATTGTCAGACAACTCATCAACATTGACCACATTCTCTGCATTTTGATTTTCTATAGTTTTGAAGCCAGCAGCATCTTCCTTAGTAGGAGAGTTCTTCTTAACATCTTGTTCAACATTAGCTTCCACTTCTTTTAGAGCAAAAATAGCAAGCTTGTCAAGTCTGCTTTCAGCAGCATCTTTCTTGAAGATGGATGGTTCAGCAGGACTTTTAGGGTCATTTCCTTTATCAACCGGAGCAGGCATACGAGCAATAGAAGTAGAAATCCCAGGCACAACAAAACCTTCATTTAATACTTTATCTACAAGCCTTCTAATGCTTCTATCAATATTAACAATCTCTTCTTCTGTCCTATCATCAGTAGCAGTAGAAGCATTACATTTATCGTCTTTGGATTTCTTTGCAAGTGACAATTTGGGTTTCTTGACCTTCTTCTCAATAGGTGGGATAGTTGTTAGAGGAGTAACGTCAAGTACTCTGTCAAGGGAGAGTTTCTCAGGATGGTTGACAGATTTTGAGGAAGACGATGCATGATGTTGAGACATCTTTGAAGATTTTTGAGCAAAGAGATGAAGAATGACAATGGTTCTTTTTCTGTAAGGGAGAATGAATAGTTTGTAAAAGTAGAAGGAAGTGATGTCGTAGCGTGTGGGAAAAACTTTAAGACAATCTTGAAATGATTGCTTTCGAAATTTGATTTGTTGGAAACATAAGTAATATAATATCACTTTAATGATATTCTCACACGCCCTTAATTGCTACAAATCCTCATATAAGAAAATCCCTAATTTTCCTCTTAAGTTCTCAAACTGATTAGCATCCAAAGCCTTAGTGAAAATGTCATCCAGTTGTAATTCAGTAGCTACATGTTCTAAGGCAACAATCTTTTCTTCAACAAGCTCTCTTATGAAGTGATGACGGATATCAATGTGTTTGGTCCTGCTGTGTTGAATAGGATTTTTTGATATATTTATGGCACTTAGATTGTCACAGAATAATGTCATGACATCCTGTTTGATATTATATTTTGTTAACATTTGTTTCATCCAAACCAATTGAGAACAACTGCTTCCTGCAGCAATATACTCAGTCTCAGCAGTGGACAGAGACACACAATTTTGCTTCTTACTGAACCAAGATATGAGATTATTTCCCAGAAAGAAGCATCATCCTGATGTACTTTTTCTATCATCAGCATTTCCTTCTCAATCAGCATCACGATAACCAATTAAGGCAGAACTAGATCCATGAGAGTATAGCATATCATAGTCACTTGTCCCATTCACATATTTAAGGATTCTCTTCACATGGTTGGTATGGCTAACTTTAGGATCAGCTTGATATCTAGCACACACCCTTACAGCAAAGGCAATGTCAGGTCTGCTAGCTGTGAGATATAGGAGACTGCCTATCATACTTCTGTAAAGACTTTGATCCACACTTACTCCTTTTTCATCTTTAGACAACTTCAAATGTGTGAGAGCATGAGTTCTTTTGTGATTGACATTTTCCATCCCAATTTTTTTTACTATATTCTTAGCATACTTGCTCTGAGATAAAAATATGGAATCTTCCATTTGTTTAACTTGCAGACCAAGAAAGTAGGTTAATTCACTAACAAGGCTCATCTCAAATTCTGACTGCATTTACTTGACAAAATGTTGAACCATCTCATTTGACATCCCACCAAACACAATATCATTAACATAAATCTGTGCAATCATGATCTTCCCTTCTTCTTCCTTGACAAAAAGAGTTTTGTCTATGCCACCTTTCCTATATCCGTTCTCACCAAGAAATTTTGTCAATCTCTCATACCAAGCTCTTAGAGCCTACTTTAATCCATACAGAGTTTTCTTTAGTTTGTACACATGTTTAGGAAAACTTAGATCAACAAATCTCTTAGGTTGTTCCACATAAACTTCTTCATTCAGATAGCCATTTAAGAAGGCACTCTTTACATCCATTTGAAACAATTTAAATTTCAGTATGCAAGCAACTCCCAAGAGTAGTCTGATTGATTCAAGTCTGGCCACAGGGGCAAAGGTTTCATCAAAGTCAACTCCTTCAATTTGAGTGTATCCTTGTGCAACTAACCTTG